TGTTGCCAAATGCAGGAATTTTTCCTATGATAATTCTCATGCTGGATATTGCTAGTGCTCAGCAGGACATAGACAGTCTTTCCAGTCAGTGCACAAGCCCTTTCCTTTTCATTTTGAGGCTGTGTTGCAACAGAGTAGATACTGTTTTTTAAAACATTGCTTTCTCTTAGCCTAGCAGCAGCACAATGTCTTAAATCTCACTTGAGCTAGCTCTATAATGCTACCACATTAGGTCCGGTCTTTCCAAACTTAGGATTCCTGGCTGGATGGGAAAGACAATGTGGTTATGAGATGAAACTAGGACTTGAGCGATATGTTCGGGAAGCCAGCCCCACCACATGCCCCTCTGACCATGAGCAGAGCAATTAATGTAGGAGACGAGGTAATACCAATGCTGTGGAGGCAGATATAGGAAATGACACCATGTTTTGTGCTAGAAACCATATTTGTATCTTAAAATGCTCTGTGGCTTTTTTTTTCCCTCCGCAGTAGAGTGGAAATAAATGCAAGAATAACCATGAGGAGGCAGAGCCTGGAAAATTCTCCAAGTTCCCGGACTCATGTGGGAAAGCAGCCTCCTCCGTCCATATCCCAGAGGAGGGCTGTGGCCAATGTAATTCCAGATTGGGCAGAGCTGCTCTTGCCGTGCCAAGATCTCACCTACATCCTGTCCCCTCTCTGAGGGACAGAGGCGACAGGTGTGTTTCTACAAACATGATGGCTTTGGGGCAGAGAAGAAAACATCCTTAGCCTTGCCCTAATACAGAGAGATTTCATGGGTTATTGAGACCCTCTCCTATGCAAAGCACTGCCTTTTCTAAAGAGAAAACCAAGCAGCACCACAAAGCAGTGAAGTCCTTCAGGTTCTATCCCGAGGCCCTTGGCAGCTCCCATGAGAGGCACATGGAAAGGACAGAAAAATGCCAGGCACCTGTGCATAGATGGGTTATATGCTGAGAGAGGGGGGACAGTTACAAGCAGCTGAAGAAGTCAGGTGGCCAACTGGCATGAACTGAACCTCTCATCTTCTTAGGAACCACAGAAGCTCCTCAGCCTTAAGTTGTGACTGTGTGTCTACCCACTGAGCTGAGATACGGCTCCAGGGTTTTTGCTTTCCACTTAAAGATCATCTTGTGATCTTCATTTCATGGCTGAAAGACTTCCAGAGGACAGCTTCTCATTTTGCACCTTGCCTGACTAGAATGACGGCCTGAGTTCCCCCTAGGGTTCAGATACTATTTTTTTCCTATTGGGAGTAGGATGCAGCTCTTCCAAAATTCCCCAAATAATTGACAATGAAAGCATCCAGCTGAGTCACTGGCATAAAACTCTCTTTCTTGCATCTTCAACCTGCAGGAGTGCTTCCTTCTCCAGTTGCTAGCAGGACAAAATCCCATTTAGGCCAGGCCTTTTCAGCCTTTATTGCTTCCATTGGAGGTGCAGACATAGAGTTATATCTTCCTGACAGTAGACTTCACTATTATTTGCCCCTTTGGGGTAGATCCCAGGCACCCAGAGGCCCTGTGATGGTAGCCAGTGTCTAGTGCTGCACAGGAGGAAACAGGAACCTCGTGTAAGGCAGTTGTGAGATAATTTAGCTTGCCTGTAGGGTTGCTCTTTCATAAGCCTAAGTGTGCAAATATTGTTCTGTAGCGTAAAGAACGACATTCTCCATACAGATCATGAACTCTTGGATTGGCTGGTTGATTTCTGTAATCTTTACTGCAGTAACTGTTGATGTATTTATTACCTATCTAAATGCCCATTCCTTTTCTGAGTCCTGCTGAGCTGAAGGCCACACCAGCTTTTAAAGCTCTCTGACATTGCTATGAGACAGCCTGGTCTATAGACCTGACTGGGCATGAATGTGACTATGGACCCTCTGAAATTGGCACTTAGAGATTGTGTGGGTCACTGAGTCTAGCTGTGACAACTGCAGGTAAGCAAGGAATTGCTGTTGAGCCCAAAGGTTACAGTCAGCTAACAGTCGGTTTGATGAACAACCTTCACCTTGCTAGCAATGGCCCATCTTTGCCTTCAGTTAATACCTTTGTTGAAATTTGACATTGGGAAAATTGTGTTAAAAATTAAATACTGAAGCAAAACCTCATCTCTGCTCTGAGTCCAGTTGGGCCCTGCCCTACTGCACTTTCCTTTCTCTTTTTAAATAATCTTATTGATGCCAGTGGGATCAGAGACAAGATGGGGCAGTAGTTAGAAAGAAGAGGCCCTGGACTCACCTGCAGGATTTTAAAATCTACCCTCCTGAGAAATGAAATGGACTCAGCCAGCCCCTTGAAGGTCATTTTGAGCATCTAAGGGACTGTTTCCATTGCCTGGCTGTTGTCTCTGTGGGAAGTGTGTCTGACTCTCGGCTGCTGCCAGCCTCAGACACAATTATGGAGGGACACCACAGCCACAAAAGAAGGCAGCCCCCATCCCTGCATATTCTAAAACCCTAACAGCTTCACCACAGCTTCCCAGATGGCCCCACCATCTTCTGGCACTGTTGCCATGAGATATGCTCAGGAAGATGAGTGCATCTGCCCTGGATGGACTGATTCTCCTGACGCTGGCCTGGCTGAATACGCTGTGGGGAAACAGGCAAAAGCAGGGATTCACTGCTTCATAAAAATAGTCTGCTAGTTTCAGGCAGCCAGGCTTTTATGGATTTAAGTTTATGTGAGTATTCCCTTAGGGTCTTATTCCCTGCTGAGAGTGTAAAATGTTCACTTAGGCTATCTGAACGCACCCTTCAGTGGTTTGATAAATGACTTAACCAAGAAATAAAGCCAGCCCATGCGTTAATTACTTAAATTGACACATGTTGGGCAAAGAACCGCTGCCCCATGCCATATCTATAGATCTGTGTGCTGGGCCTCAGTCTCTCCCTCCATTTCTGGGAAGCGTGGCCCGCTCCAGTGAATTTATCTACCCAAAGTCCAGCTCAGGGATACTTTTGAGCCTTGGTGGCTCACGGTGAGCTGATGTGAAACAAGGGATGCAGGCTTGTCCGTGCTGCGGTGGGAGCTGATGGTCCCGGCCGGGACAGATCCTGTTCCACTGGCAGAACGGGACCTGTCCGAGGTCAGGATGGGAAGCAGGCAGTGCTGTGAGGCGAAGCACGAAAGCAGCTGTTTCGCTGCCCTGTCGTTTCTTCAGAAACCTGTGTGGGAAGAGGGCAAGTCCTGACTCGGCCCTCGTGCGTGAGGCAACGCAGCCGCCCGGCGTTTTACCATCCGCGGCAGGCTGGGGCCCCTGTGAGCGGGGTCTGAGGGATGCCGGCTGGGGAGCTTGCCGAAAGCCTCTGGCAAGGTGGATTTAGAGGTTTTCGCTGTCCCTAAGAAAGCAAAGCAGCAGGGAGGCGGGCGATTATTAACGATTTCTCCTTTGGGGACTCAAATCCCTCAGCCCGTCGCCTGTCTGCTCCCCTCTAGGCAGTCGCGAGGCCCTGGATAGTTATTTTCCTCTCACCCTTAAGTTGTTTGCCCTCCAAAGGCCTTTTCCACCAGCCGCCTTGGCTGCGGAGGCGCAGAGGTATTTGGGGAGAAAACGACCGACTAACGAATGCGTTTAGCCTACGCGGTTTTATTTATCCGTAGGCTTCCCGCTCAGGGAAAACAGTCCGCACGGTGAGGGCAGGCCCCCTTGCGATTTAAAATCTGGCTTTTCTGGGGCTCAAAATTCAAAAAATGGGCTGCTTTCCCCCCCTCCCTCCCCCCGGTCCCGTCCCGTGTCGAGGCGGGGAAGGGGCCG